CGCTCCGCGGCCGCGCACCACCCCGCTGGCGGAGGGGGCTGTGCCTGGCGGGGACCCCTGTGACCCTTGCCTGCAGGGTCTGCCGCGGCCGCGTTGCTTTTCTAGCCTGGCCGGTGCCATTTCATCTTTTCATTTGTGTATATATATGTGTGTGTGTGTGTGCTTGTGTGTGCGTGTATATGTATGTGTGTGTGTATGTATGCATACAATACACATGCGCACAGACATATATACAATGTATTTATAAAAAAGTGCCAGCCCTTTCTCCGCCGCCCCGGACGGGAGGCGGATGCGCGGCGCTGCCCACTCTAATAGAAAACCCATCGCTCCGAGGGTTAACACTCCACAGTCCGGCTTTTTTTTTATTAGTGCTATCATTGTGATTCTACTTCAGAGAAAGCCGTAAAACCGCCCTCCGTGTGTGTCCCCTTTTCCTGGCCCTTCTGGTGTGTCCGGCTCGGGACCGGGACCCCCAGCAAACCCTCACACCTGCCCCTCGCTGCGGGGCGCCGAGTTGCTCTCTGCCTTTTTCCTTTGGACCAGGTGAACCAGGTTTGCAGAGGGACCAGCCGATCCGGAGCACACGTCGGAGATCCGGGGCGGTTTGGGTGAGTACACAGATGCCCTCAAACATCCTCATTCAAGTCACTGCCGTCTGCTTTTGCGTGCGCTGGTTAGAAACTCGGGTCACCTTGCACGACCCTGCGCCTTGGACAGATGCGACGCTCGCCTGCAAGGCAACTTGCCTTCTCCTTCTCTGTCCTCCTCCTCCGCTACAGGGATATTCCTGCTTGTCCCCGGCTTGCAATATTTCTGGGCAAGCAAGCCTTCCCCAGGCCCCACCTCCCCTGCCGCTTGTGAATTTTGGGGACTGGTGTGGCTGTTCGCTGCCCGGCAGAAGCCTCTGAGATGTTCCCGCTCTGGGCGGACAGCGGGAGGCGGCGGTGTTTGAACCCGGCTCCCACGGGACTTCCCCGAGCACGGAGAGGGTGAAGGGATGGAGTGATCAGGGCCTATTTAGGAAAAAAAAAAAAGAATATTCCCACTCTACGCAGCCCCAGAAAAATGCAAATACCAGAGCTCTGAAATGAACCCTCAAAAAGCAAGAATATGCAGCAGTATGTTTGGGCTTCAGTCCTATCTGGAGATAGACCCAGGAGGATTCTGGTGAACTGTGAACAGGGAGAAAGTGTATTCATCACTTGTTGGAAAGGAGTGATGCTAACTTACCTTTCTTTCATGCTCTGGGCATCTTGGCGTGTGTTGATAGACAGGAAATACGAGTCTGACCGATGTATGCTAAAAAAGCATTTGCTCTGTTTCATTGGCAGACGCGTGCTTTCGAGAATAAATGATGAAAACGTGGACCCTGCTTACTTCTACAGTTTTTATATACAATGTGCAAACAATACGTACGTAGCCCGTGCCTATATTTTACAAAATGTTCCTATAGTGTAGTCATTACTTTGCTTTCCATATAGAGATAGTGCAACAGATTTTCTCTCCTTTTCCCCCCTCCATATTTCTCTAATATAATATATAATTGTCTGGTGTGCCCATCTAAGTGCATGAAAGTCAAGTATATGCAGACATATTACTGAAACGCATAATGAGTATGAATGCAATTCTCTCTCTGAAAATACATTATATGTGTGTACGTGTATGTGTGTGTATATAGAGTATTTTTATGCTTGTGAATATGTATATGCAGTTTTACATAGCTATAGTAACACGACCACAAACACTTTACACTGCTCGTGCATATTATGGGGATGAAAATACCATTTCTTGCGCTCTGCACGGAGCTGGGTGGCTGCAGTGAACTCCAGGAAAAAGGACTGGCCTTTAATGGAGGTTTCACGGTAGCCAACCAGCTCTGCATAGACTGCAAGAAATGGTATTTTCACAAATTTATTTCCAAAAAGAAACAGAGGGGCCGGCTCAGGTTTGTTCCCTGCCCTGCGCGGCCGCCGACCCGGACCGGGGGACAAACCTGGGCTGGCTGGTACTCACCCCCGTGTGCCATCACCCGCTGTGTGCCCTGCCCGGGGGGGGAGGGGGCTCGGGGGCCCTTTCCCACCGCAGAGACACCGCTGGCATGGCCCCCAGGGGGGGAGGGCGCGGCCCCGTTGGGACGCACCTGGCCCCACGACGGGGCTGGTGCGGCCGGGGCAGAGGCAGGACACGGCACCTCTCTGCCCCCATCGCCTTATCCCCGACAGCCGTCGCTTTCTTGGCGGCGACAAACTTTTTTTGCAGAGAGATATAGCTAAGAGTGGAAGGTTTTTCACTGGGTAGCAAGCTCCTACCTTCCTCTGGCCGGTTAGAAAAGATTTCCCAGTGTTTTCGGTTAATCCTGGCGGGTTTAGGGTCAAGTTTAGGCTACAGACTGTGCGCTCCGTATTTCCTCTTTACCGGATCTGTTTTATTCTCAGACACATTTTTCTCAGATGGTCTCAGGAGACCCTCAGGACCAAAGCGCCTTACCACGAGTTACTGCTGAGGTTGCGGCCTGCGGATCCTGGAGAAGCGCAGCCAAAATATTTTGTTGGCGGGGTGTCTCCGGTTAAGCAGTCCCCGTCCATGCCGAGGGCTGGCACGAGATGCCCCGCAGGGACGGAGCCTGGCGGGGCGGGTACCGACCCCCCTAATTGCCCCGTTACCATCTCCGACGGCCCTGAGCCTCGGCAGCGTTTGCTCGACGCGCGCGTCATTGCGCGGCCGCTGTGAAACCGGGATCCGCGGTGCCGGGCCGGGCTCAGGAGGGAAGGAGTGGCGGGACGGCTCTGTTTTTAGGCTGAGTCTCCTGAAGGCATGTACGCGTATGTGTGTGACAAGTGGCTCCGCCGAGGGCAGCGCCTTGCAACGCCGGGCCGACAGCTCCTGCCACCTCCGCCCGGCCCGACACCCCTGCAAGGGCTGGGGCGAGCCTGCCTGCAATGTGAATGCAATTACCTTGCTTTTGTTTGATGTCTCCTCTTCCTCTCCCTCCATCAGCGCTGCCTCAATGTGTCGTAAAATCGAGGCGAAATGAAAGACAGGCTTTAGCGCTACCTAACCCCTGATCCGCTCTGCTTTTAAGGGACCGCGCGGGATGTTTGGAGCCTGCATCCTTGCAGGAGGCGTTTAACCTCCCCGTGCTGCGAGCAGCAACGCCTTTCTGGGAAGGGGAATCGTCTCGTCTTTCTCCATGCCGAAAAAGTGGCGTTAAATTGATCGCTCGGTTCCTATCACTATCCTAGTAGATCAGAGGCCAGCACTGCGGGTAAGGACATTCCTGGCCAACATCTGCCTTTGGTTGCTATGTGTATATATACGCACACACACACACATACATTTATATGGATACACACACACACACGCACACACGCACACACACACACATAAATCAAAAGTAGTATTTCAGCCAGGTTCACTTTAACTATAAAAATAAAAGAAATAAGGGATCGTCTTCGCTTCTTCATTAAGCTGACGGGAGACGAGAAAGTGAGAAAGAACACACTCGGCGGCGTGTTTGGGGTCCAAAACTCCTTTAGCAGGGCAGAAGCAGTAGCGGAGAGGTTTGGAAACCTGCTTAAAAAAAGAAAAAGATATATGAAACATTCCTCTACATGAAACACCCTCCTCTTCCTCCTCCTTCCAACGAGTGCTGGGAGGAAAAGGGGGTCGCTCAGCTCCAGCAGGAGCCGCACCAACGCGCTCCGTCCCCTCCCGGCGGAGCGCTTCCTGGCCGTGAACGGAGTTGGCCAGTTCTCTGCTCTGCCCCTCCACCTTCCAAAAAACGCGGATCCCGAGCAGGGCCCGGGGGAGGGGGTTCACGTCCCGCTGTGCCCGGCCTGGGACGCTGGGGGCGGGGGGATAAACGCGAACAGGGAGAGGGCTGAAGTGCCGCCCCCCCCGCAGCCGCCCACCCCCGGCCCGGTGGGGGCGGGGGTCCCGCCCCTCTCCCTGGGGCAGCCCTGTACGCACCTCTTGGGGGCACCACTTTTTGGGTAGTCTTTCGGGCAGGCAGCATGCCGAGAGCCAGATGAGAGAGAGCCTCCCTTTAAGGGCAGATGGAAAAACAGGCGCTGTCCTTGGCTGTCCCCAGCCTAAGAGGAGTCTCTCCTGACTTGCAGAAGCCCCCTCGGGGCTCTGGATCCCGCGCACATAAAGCCACGCAGTTTGTACAAAGTTTCCAGGCCCCAAAGTGTGGGGAAACCTGAACCTGAGAGCGGTTGGGGCCACCAGGCGCCCCGGTGTCCGCCGGACCCGGGCCGCCTCTCAGCAGGGTGACCCCCCCTCCAGGACTCAGCATTGCCGCTGTCCCCACTGCATCTGCTGCACTGGTTTTGTTTGTTTGTTTGTTTGTTTTGTATCTGAATATATCAGGGAAGATTTCAGCTGTGTCCACAACACTGTTAATGACTCCTCAGATAGCTTAGAAGCATGATGTATTACCACCGCCCGTGGAGGACCTCACTGCCTTCTGTCCCTTATCAGCGCCTGCAACTATCTCAGAGCATGTTTTAGGGGTTTTATCCTAAAACACTTCAAATGTGGGTTAAATACAGTGTTGAACTGAAATGCAGCAGTACTTTGTTGATTTCTTAATTTGGAATCCATTTAAGGGGTCCCTGAAGATGCAGAAACAGAGAAACTAAAAAATATGGGATTATCCAGTAACTTATTAACTATATAAAACCAGTCTTATTGAATTCTTCATTGTCAATAATATTGGCAGAGAACTTTTCCTCTTTCAAGAATGCTGCACAAACCAGTGCTGATCCCTATGAATGTGCTCATTATTCACGGATAGTCACTGAGGAGTTTGGCTGGAAACTTCCCGTAGCCTGTAGGAAGTCTTAACTGTCCATGTTGCCTATTTATTGTTTGTTATAGATGGCATGCAAGTGGGAAGATGAATCACCTAAGTGTCATTTCCTTGTTAAATGTGTGAAATTTAACCAAAGGACATAATAAATGACAAAATGAGGGAATATCCTTGAGTATATGAATAAATTAATGAAGAAAGCACTTTGAGAATGACTTGAGGGATAAATATTCACATGTGCTGAAATTTCAGAATCTTTTCAGAAATATTTATTCATTCTTTGATTGGAGGTGGCAAAAAAGAGAGAAAATAGATAATCAGTGAATTACGTGATATGTTAAGAAAAAGGTAGTCCCTACTGAATAGAACAAACAATTTAATTATAATATAACCCTGTCTTAAAATGTCTTTTCCATAAATATATTTGGCATTGATGTCAGTATACAATTTTAACATCACTTTTTTATATACAGTGAGAGAATGCATGGTTTTATTGGTGCTGGTTAGGGTCAGCCACAGGAGAATTATGGAGGTCATGTGAAATAGGTGCCAATAAAGCTTTTATTATTGTTATACAGACAAAAGAGCATTATGGAAAGAGATCCTTACCAGACCTAAACATGGATATTTTGTTCTGTTAACAATCAAGTTGGAAAATACAGAGACACAGTAAAAAAGTTACTTTTCAGAGCTATCGAACATTAATCTAATATCTATAAAAGTTCTGGAAGTGTTTTCCACAAGAAAATGAAGGTCTCTTGGAATGGAACACGAAAAACATAGGGAGGAACAAAAATATTACAGTGTCAAAACTTCAGATTTTTAGAATATAACTGTTTTTATATTGAAATCACCTTTACATTTGATCTTGTGTGATGTAAAATAAAAATGTCAAACAAAATATTTTTTTGCTTGACAAAGTAGAATTTTTCTCTGGTTTGTATTTACCTACAAGATTGGATCTGAAGATTTTCTGAAAAAACTTGAAGTTCAATATTCTAAAACCAATTTAGGGAAAATGCCGTTCTCTTTCTCTCATACAGTCTTGAATGATTTTGGTGGAACATTAAATCACTGTCAGTGAACTTGAATATAATGAACTTGCCCATGTGTTGATACACTGGATTCTTAGATCAAACTTCAGAAACAGTTAAAGCTCAGTGATTTCAGTAAAAAGCTCCTACCTTCTTAAATCTCATTGACTTGGGAGTTTTAGATTAATTCCAGGACGGAGCCAAGTTCAACCCAAGAAAGTCTCAGAAGCCGTACAGTACAAAACATCCTTTGTATTTTTACACTTGTGTTAAAGGAAAATTGGTGCATAGATCAAAGTTAGTCTCAAAATACCGCCAACATAGAGTTAAAAATTATACTAGATTTTGCACTTTGATAATAAAATGATTCAAGCTGTATATGTTCTAAGGGAAAGATTAAAAAAAAAACTTGTGAAAATTCCATGGAGCTTTATTCTATATATAAAATTACCTACAATCATCCAATTCTATTAGGAAGCAAGAAGTACCTAGTCATATTAAGAAGCAAGTGTGCTCTACACAGACAGACAACAGAAACTATTTCTATTCATATTGTAATTCATTTATGATAGTAGAGAACAACATATGAGGCTTTAAAACTGTCATTAGATCAAGAAAAGTATTTTTCATTGGGGACCTGTGAAAACTATAATTTTGTAAAAGTTATCTGAGTGAGGCATATACTTTTGTCCCACAAAACTCTATCAACAATTATATGTGCAAGTCTAGGAATTTTTGAATCAGCTCAGAAGTAATCTTAATAGAAATCAAGGAGTAGTTAGAGTACATGTGAGTCATTAAAACCTGAGGATAAATGCAAATTTCAAATGGTTCCGTGATGCATTTTAAGTGATTTTGCAATGCTTTGGCATATGTGGAGACACGTATCTGGAGATATATACAGTTACATACACATGAATATTTTTATTATGGTATATGAAAGCTACATTTTTACATAGCATGAAAATAGTGTTGAAATGCCTTTAGAAAGGACTGGATATAGTCAAAATTAATATCATAATGAACTCAAATCCTAATGTAAATCCATGAAAACCCCAAATGCATTCACTTTCTTGTCCTGAATTATTTTGTTATCAAATCTGATTAGTCTTAGAAAACCCTGAAGCAGTAGGAAAGCTGGGTCAAACACTGTTATGAACTCTGCGGTAAAGCTCTGTT